GGCCTCTTCCACCTTAACTCCGTCCTCGACCTGAACGCAAATTGCTTATTCAACCCCCTTTCTTCTTAATGTGGTATCACCCCTGGGAAATTATCAAGAACTCCTTCTGCTTCACTTTTGTCATCCTCCACAACTTCTTTCTGCACCCTTTCTTGCTCTTCTTCTTCTAGCACGGATTGGAGAGCAAGCTGCCAAGTAATTTCTTTCATGAGATCTTCTTGCATCTCCTCACTCATGCCCGCCTCTTCAAAGCTCTGTTTGGGATGTGGGAAGGTGTGGTCGGCTATGACAGGACATTCCTGATCATGATCATCACGGGAGCTCTCCGTGACAACTTCAGTGTGCTCCACAATGTCCTTGTAGCCTTCTTCTTCCTCCTCCTCTTCTAGTATGGTAGCAGAAGGGTGATCTGGAGCAGGTTGTGCACAAGATCGCTGAAGATCATCGACGCTCTTCTTAAGGCTCAGGAGGATCTCCTCTGTTTCACGATAGGCCTGGACACAATGATTCATCCTGGGGCATGATCTCTCACCGTCTCGAGCAAACTACCCCATGAGAAGCCTCAATTCATAGTTTGGATCTGGCTGTGGAGTGTAGCATGGCTTTGCAGAATGGCCCGTGAAGGCCGCCATGGGTAACTCCAGCTCCGATGGCCCTTCTGGTTGTGGGAGAAATTCTTCTTGATAATAAGGTTGTTCTTGATTTGCCCAGGGGTCTGATTGTTCTCCGTTGTAAGGGGGTTGGTACTGGAACCCAAATCCATAGTCTTCTCCTCCTTGATTGCTCCAGGGAGTCTCGGGGTAATACCACTCGGACGGTGGTGGATACCCCCCAATGGTTGGAGAAGCCATGAGGATCCATGATTCAGATCTGCACCAACAAAAACAAAAACACCCAAGTGAAAAGCAAGTGGGGAAAAGAAAAGAAAAACGCTAAAGTAACAAACTTCTGCCTTTCCTAATAATCTATAAAGTCCCCGGCAACGACGACAAAAACTTGACACGCTAAAACACAACACCTAACAATGGCCAAGTGTAACCAATGAAAGGGACTGCAGTATAGTGGCACAAGTAATAAATATCGAATCCACGGGTCTCTAGAGTTACTATTACTCAGCTTCAGTTCATTATCTAGCAAACTAGATTAAGGACTAATTTACCAAACTACTCTACTAATTACAAGTTGGGAACTCACTTAGGTGTGATTCCCCCTAGCTCCTCAATTAGGCCCAAGTTGCAATTCTCTTTGGTTAATCTACTGTTGATTAAACTGCGGAAGATCCTAAATTAGCTTGGAATCTCTTAAGCTGACCAAGCCCTCTTAGACAGAATACCCGGCAGACGACTAGCCTTCACCGGGATAGACTCCTAAGGCGATTCACACAGATCTCCACTACTAGAATGAATTCCAGTACAAAGTAGTGAATTGATTGACTCTCGCAGAACCAATTCACCACTATCAATCAAGGAAGCTCTCTTAACCTAATCAGATTCTATCTATCATAGGTTAAAGCAAAAATCAAGAGAATTTGATCAAGATTCAATTGACTCAATAAATCATACCTCAATCGATTATTATCAAACAATATAGCATCCAAAACTTCATACAATAAAGATCCTAACACTTGGAACTACGGTTCCTCAAAACCTAAGTGAAGGGAAGTTACTCCATAGAGAAGAGAGAGACTGCAGAAATCTGATCTAGATCTTCAATCTCCATCTCCAAGCTTGATTCCCGAGCTTCAATGGCGAAGAAATCCTCCAAAATAGCTCCTCTCTAGGGTTCGTCCCTTGGGTGTTTGGGAACCAAAACCCAGCTCCAAAATCACCTCTAGGATGTGTTCTTCGCACTTTCTCTCTATAGGGCTCTGCTTTTGCTCCAAAAAGTCGATTCCCTCTTCTTTGGCTCGAATCTGCCTTAGAAACCCGATTATGGGCAAATTACGTCGTAATCATGGTATGCCCGTAAATCGCCCAAAACGCGCGTGTTACTTAACTCTGAGGAAGGGAATTACGGTCGTAATTACCCAATTGCTGCCAGTAATTATGGAATTACGACCGTAGTTACTTTGACTCTTGCTCGTAATTGTCTCTGCGACAGGAATTCTGATGAATTAGGCTCGACATTGCATTTACGGGCAAGACAAGAGCAATTACGACCGTAATTGGTCAGGGTCTGCCCGTAATTCTTCCTCCGCCCCTGTTTAATGCTTCGTTTCTCCCTCGTCCGGACTCCAAATCAGTCGCCGTTTGATCCCAAACACTCGTAGTCTCGTCCTCTTTCTTTTCATGAAAAAATTCCATGATTATTTGTCCATAATATGAGGTAGAAGTCCATTATTCCTCAGGTCATGCTCGTGTTTCTTCTCCCGAATTGCCAAATGATCTCCAATTGACTTGAAACTTGCGCATATGCTTCACTTTATGTGCTAGGACCTGAAATGTGACAAAGGAACACAACCTAGCGTAAAATAGGTCAAAGACGCGATAATTAAAGCTCGAACAGTCAAGAAACAAAGGGGAAAACATGTGCAAATATCGATTCAACATATAATGAAAATATACAAACCATTAGATGTGGCAAATGGATTGGATTCATGGATCGAAAAAATGGATTGGTGAATTGATCCATGAATCCAAATGACATCCAATCCTTGGAACATTATGTATATTTTGAAAATTTTAGGTAATAAAATTTTATAAAAAAATTTAGGTGCCTAAACGTAATATTCCAATGATATTTTACATCAACAAATATATTTGAGGTACCAAAATGTAAAATACAAAAAGTATATGCACTAGACTGGATGCATTGGATTTTATTCATGGATTTTGATACTACTTGACACCTCCATATTCCAGTGGAGACCATTTTCATCGCAATGAAGTAGTCGGGCAGGGTAAAGCGTAGGAGCAGCTCAAAGAAAGAAGAGTCTGGTCTGATTTGAATTTAGGCCCATCTTTTACTAGGTGCGGGAATGGTGCAGGCAAGGGCGCCACAGTTTTCGAAGGTTCGGGTCGTTCAATGATACTTTACTTACAAACCAATAAAACAAATTATACAAACGAGATGATAAAAGTATAATAACAGTACAAAATATCACTACTTACAATACAAATCGATAAACTTGTATTATAAATCAATGAATGCAAATTATACAAATCATAACCTAAAGTATACAAACTATAACAACAAACATTACAAATTGCAATATATACAAACTATTCATATAAACATTACAAACATAATAGACAAAAGTAACCAACTAAAATGATAAATGATATAAAAAAAATTTATATAAACATTACAAACCAGACTTACAAAATTTATAAAATAGATCATCAAACATCACAAAATTGCTGCTGCCACCGAGAAATTCTCGTCGATGAAAAATTCTCTCCACCACTGCCAAAAATATCCTATCCGCCGCCTGAAAAACTCTCTTTCTCTCTCTAAGGGTCGGAAGAGGCAAAGAAAGTCGTCGGCCAAGGGGATTGATGATCGGAAAATGGCCGGCGAAGGCGGGGAGGGATGCACACGTGAGAGACTTTTTAGTTGCATAATAATTAAAAATTAAATAAGCCATGCAATTACCACATTACCCTTTATTAACTTATATTAATTAGAACCATAAGATTTAAACAAGATTCCATGGTTGAGATTTTGGGACTACGGAGAGTCGGAGACCCACTTATTAACCTCAACTTACATCGCTAATTTTCTGGTACTTGCTCAGATCTCCGGTTGATCACTAGGAGAAACTGGTAAAGAGAATTATAGGGTTACCTATAGGTGTCAAAACAAAATCCGACCTGATTAACCCGCCCGATTAACCCGACCCGCAACCCAAATTGACTAAAAATCGACGACCCGTAACCCGCCCGACACGCAACCTGATTGATCCGCAACCCGATTAACCCGAACCCGATTAAACCCAAACCGATTGATCTGAACCCGACTAATCCGTAACCCGACCGACTCAACCCGAACTTCACCTAATCCACTTGAATGATTATTATATTATTAGACCTGGCAAATTACAACCCGACCCGTTGACCCGACCCGAAACCGCTCGAAAACTAGAAATTTTTGTAACCCGAAATCCGAATAACCCAAACCCGATAACCCATGATTTTTTGGGTCGGGTTGGGTGGGTTAGCGGGTCGACCCATTAGACCCGTTCCATTTCATATATCACTCCCAAAATATGATAAAATCACTCAAAAATTAGTGAGATGCTAAAAAAAAACACAAGGATTTGAATGACATATTTGGAGTTTAAGGATAATCAAATATCATGTGTTTCATGTAGTTGTATTACTCTTGTGATTGTTTTTTTGAAGATTTGCGCAATTTGTATTTCATTTCATTTCATTAGTGTGATAGGATTTGAGAATATGTTAATTGACATGTGTTAGGTAAACTATTGTCATGCATATGTGAAAATTTGTGTTCTTTAAGATAAATATGAAGCATGTTTGATATTTTTTCTGAGAACACTCGTAACCCGAAAAGACCTGTAACCCTACCCGAAACAGAATGGATTGGTTTAATATTTGACCCGAAATCAGCCAACCAAACATGACCCGACCCGTAACCGAAGTCTCCAACCCGAACTTACCCAACCCGACCCGATTGCTAGGTCTATATATTATACAATACATAGTTTTTCAAAATAATTTTTTCATTCTAAACTTAGGTAAAATTATTTTTTCTTTTCGTATATGGAACTTAAAAAATATGAAACTCACGTGATATTACGTATTTTAAGAAAATTACAAAAAATGAAACATGAACGTCACTTGAACACAAAGTTCTTTAACATAATTAAAAAAGTAAATATGAAATATAAAATCAACACAATGTCAATATTAATAATGAAGAATTAATAGTTGAGATCATGTACAATATTAATATAATATATAAATTAAAATTTTGGTTAATTTAACTATTCAATAAAATTATCAATTACATATAAATAAAATAAAGTAATTTGTTTGGTAATTTGATGCTTTTAAAAGAAGAGGGAAATTTTAGGGTAAATTCAACTTTTTGGGAAGAGAAAGAAGAGGGAAATTTGGTTCTTTGAATTTTTTAGAAAAGAAACAAGTGGGAATTTTGGTGGTTTTGATTTGTGGGAAGAGAAAGAAGTGGAAAAGTTTGGTTTTTTTATTATGAAAGAGAAATAAGGAGAGAAATTTTGTGTATTCAACTTGTTGTGTAAGGAAGGAAGAAAGAAGAAAATTTGATTTTTCAATTTTATTGTAGAGAAAGAGGAGAGAAATTTAGTTCTTTCAATTTTATGGAAGAGAAAGAAGAGAAAAAATTGAGTGTTTCTAATTTATGGAAGGAGAAAGGAGGAAAGTTTTAGTATTTTAAATTTTTTTTTGTGAAAAGAAAGAAGGAAACAAATTTGGTGTTTTCAAATTTTTTGGTTTTTCAAAATTTTAACCTTTGAAATATGAATCTTTAATTTTTATATGGAGGGAATGACTAGTTAAATTTATTGTTATATGTTTTGAAGACTAATATATATATGTAATTGTTTATGGGCTAATAACTAAATTAAACTTTAGTTACAACAATCATTTGTTTTATATATCACTTAATTTGTCTACTTGTTTCCTATGCTTCTACATTTATTTCAACTTCAACACTACATGATGAACTTTTAAGTTGTGTTGAACACTTTGTGTTGAACATAGTAAAATTTTGGCACATTTAAGTTGTGTTCATAAGAAACTTTTATTTCAAAATGGGGGTTAAACTTGACATGTTAAGTCATACGATTGCAATAACTCTGTCAGATTGTGGGTTTGAGAATTTTGGTTAATCGAGTTGCGGCCTTGCGGGTCACTTTGGAATGGGAAATGAGAGGGAGGTTTGGGTGGGAACTTTGGAATGAAAAATTTATGGGCGGGTGAATATGAGCCAACAATTATATTAAACTTGATAAGTAATCTTTAACGGTTCATTGTTTAGGGTATAAAGTATATGGTTAGGGTATAGGGTATAACGTACAGATGGTTTAGGATGTATATTGTTAGGGTACAAGGAATTGATGATTTTGACGGTTCTAAGTTTTTTATTAACATATGTTCACTTGAAGTTATTTGAAGCCTTTAACGACAGGAGATCCCTTTTTAATTTATGTTTATGGTACGTGGTTAGGGTACAGTGTATATGGTATAGAGTATATGATATATGGTTAGGATATAGCAATTAGCAAATATCACTTTTTCATCTATGTTTCGAAAATCAAAGTATGAATTTCACATGTATATTAACTATACTAGCAAAATCACAACTCATAAGGATATATGGTCAGGGTATAGGGTATGTGGGTAGTGTATAATGTATTGATGGTTTAGAGTATACGATCAACAATATACACTAACTTAATATTGTCGATTGAGGGTAAGACTAAGTGTATAAGATATATGTTATTGAGTAAGTTATGATTGAAGTCACAACAATTTTACTAAATTTGATAGTTAATCTTTAATGGTTCAATTTTTAGGATAATTTGAACAATTTTACAAATAACTTGTTTGGCAACAGTTTACTGAAGTTATTTGGACAATGAGTTATTTCGAAACAACTCCTTTTATCACTCTGCTTTTTCCAAATACCACACGCCAAATACTAGATTTGCATGGTTATACTAAACGAGATACTTTAATCCAATTACTACTGAAATAATACTAAAATATCAAATAAACAATTGATGGTGTCTTTTGGTTGCAAATGTTGATATTACCATTACTGTTAGCTAGTGTACTATATCAATTACGATTAATTACATAACAAGTTTGCAAGTCATACATATTGATTCAACATTTTGACTAGTTTTTTTTAATTAAGTATATATATACGAGGTAGAAAGAAATTGGTTAAAAAGTTGAGAAACATATTTTTAATTAGTGTAATAAAATGTGTAAGTTTTTTTTGGTAGTAAATAAAATGTGTAAGGTGGTAACGAGTAATGGTTAATACCCTAATTTGGCCCGAACTATAGACTGGCCCACAGTATCGGAAATTGCTATCCTGGCCTAAACTATGTAGCATACTTTCTTATTTGGCCCGAAGGCGGGTTTGACCTTTAAATTAGACGGTCAACCGAGTTGATTGTTAGTCAAGGTCCACCTCACTTGCCAAGTCTTGGAAACAAGGCGACACAACGGGGTGCCAAACGGCCGGGTACCAAGCCGGGTACCAAATAGGAGGTCATCCAAAAACTAAGTCTTGGAAACAAGGCGACACAATGGGGTGCCAAACGGCCGGGTACCAAGCCGGGTACCAAATAGGAGGCCATCCAAAAACTAAGTCTTGGAAACAAGGCGACACAATGGGGTGCCAAACGGCCGGGTACCAAGCCGGGTACCAAATAGGAGGTCATCCAAAAACTAAGTCTTGGAAACAAGGCGACACAACGGGGTGCTAAACGGCCGGGTACCAAATAGGGGGTCATCAAAAAAACTAAGAAATTTGGCTAAGTATGAAGCCAAAGGGGTACCAAGCCGACAAGGCAGGGCTTGGTACCAAGACATGAAAAAAATGAATTTCGCTAAGTATGGAGCTAAGGAGGTACCAAGCCAGCAAGACATGCTTGGCAGCCAAGCAAGGAGATAGGTACCATGACCCCAAAACAGCCATGGATGGATCGGCCAGGATGCAGAGTCAAGCCCTTATGGGGCCATATGGAGACAAATTCCCAAGACGGGCTTGGTAGCACCTTAACGGGGTACCCAACCGGCAGGGTGCAACTTACCAACTTGACGAGGCTACAAAAACTTAAGTATGGAGACCAAATTGGTAGCAAGGAGTGTCATGTTGATTACATGGGTTTGGTAGCATGCCAGAAGGTGTCAAGCCGATGAGACGGCTTGGTAACAAGCAACAAGTTAATGAGGAGGACTTGGTGTCATGAGGTGGTAGCGGTCTCAGGAGTGGGGAGTCATCAAGCAGTCAAGGGTGAGATCAAGACCTCATCATGGTTCATGGAGGCTAAGGCAAGAGCCTCAACCCCATCCAGTTATGAAAGGGCGCAAAGCTCAACACCAACCCGGCACCAAGGCTATGGTTACCAACTAGTCACCAAGGCGGGACAAGAAGGACCCCGAGGCGGTTTGAAGCAAGAGGCCAACTAGCAGTTACTACGGCAGTTACCAAGCCAGTTACACCCGGTGGCTATAAATAGGAGAAACGAAGACGGGAAAAGGGTTCCACAACCAACCATTTAACACACTATGTCAAAATTTATCTTTTCTCTGCAACTTACCTTTTAGTTTTTCGGAGCTCTCACTGAACCTCGATAGGAGTAGAGTAACGTAACTTAGCTTGTTCCCAAAAAAACTATCAAAAACATCAGACACCTTCGTTCGAACATTGTTCGGAGAGCAGTGAACCGTGTTATTATCGTTGTTCAAGAAGTCAAAGGTGCATTGAATGAAATCAAACACCAGATTTTCCTCGCTGGAAAACAGTATCAGTCAAGAAAACTCAAGCAAGATAATCAAGCTGATGGAATCACGCTTCAATGATTTGATCATTAGAGTCAAATGCTAACATGACTCTTTTCATCATACAAATCAAATATGGAGAACAGTCACACGATAAAGACTGAACAACTAACCATAATACGTCCGTTCACATATGAAGCAACCAACTAGCCATAATTCTTTTTCGCCCTCTTGTTTGCCCAACCCAACTTTTCCCACCTTCCGTGGGGCCAAGCTTTCCCTCAGTCCAGTAGGCGGCCATGCCTCACCTTACCATACGTACTCGCAGGAACTGAATTGTCCTCTCCAAACACCCAATCCCCATTACATTTCCGGAACGACTGACGAGCAGCAGTGTCAATGTGGTTGTTTCTCCCTTTGCCAAAATCTCCCCCAAATCGACAAACAGAAAGGTCACAGAGAGTTGAAACAAAAGGGAGCAGTTCACAGAGTGTTGGTGGCTGACGAATACGGCAAAGGGGAGTTTCAAAACGAAGAGGAAAATGAGGGTGGGGATGACGATGTCGATGAGCAGGGAGTGAAGTCGGCTGCGCCTGGTAGGTCTTATTTCTAATCTTCACTTTCTCAACTTTTTGGTCTTATGTTTTCGATCTGGTCTGTTTGGGTTTCCTACTTTTTCTCGCTTGGCGGCTGCGCCTAGTATGTCATTATTGTTGATGTTGCTCTGGTGTGTATGCTATCCATTCTGCTCGAATCAGAAAGCTTACCGTCTTCAAAAATGGCTTATTTGACTATTACAACGAGCTTCTGGCTCTTCCCAACAGGATACTACTTACTATTCACTCTTTGTTTGTGTTTTTGGTTTGTCTTGCTCATGTTTGTTGTTAAAAGGAACCTGATTTATGTCATTTATTTTCTTCTTCTTTTTTTGGTAGGAAAGCATACGCTAAAGCGTCTCAGACTCATATATTAATAAAACGAGGTAGGGAAACTCCCATAACATCGTACTCAAGCCATTTACAAAGATCATGGCTATCCACATCAACATGATGTGTTCCAAAAGTAAGATTGTGGCCAAAATTAGCAAGAAAATCAGCAGCTTGATTTCCTTCTCTATACACATGAGAAACAAACACAATCCAATCAAGATTAAGGAGATTGCTGATGTACTGAGCCAACAGCCCGTGTCTATGATCATCGTCCGAGCAATTTTTCATAATGGTAATAGCAGTAGCTGAGTCCAGCTTGAGTTCAACATGGCGGAAGCCCTTCTCCCACGCAATCTCAAGCCCAACAGCTGCTCCTTTGAGTTTTGCTGCAGTGATAGAGCAGTTTCCCAGGTTGCAAGCATATGCTGCACAACAATGTCCCAAAGTGTCACAAATGAGACCTCCAGCAGGAGCAAGACCTGAGGGAGAGAGGACAGAACCATCAGTCTGGACTTGTACCCATCCCTCATGTGGAGGAATCCATCCAATCTGGACCTCGCTTCTCACTCTTTGGGGTGTGAAGCTCTTGTCCACATTTTGCAGAGCCTTCTTGTAAATATTAAACCAAGCCTCAATTCTGCAGATTAGGGATTTCTCAACATACACTCCTCGTTTCTCTGCTTCCAAAGGTGCCACACAATCAGTCCAAATTCTGTACCTTGGTTAGCATCCTCCAGATTCCTGGACATCCACACCTTGAATGGCAGGTTTCTTTCCTTGCTGGTAACCCGGGTTCTGAATTTTTCCGAGATTCCTTCAGTCTTCTTGCATTGTCTGATTATATGCTCAGTGGTTTCTTCAGCATCTTTGCAATGGTTGCAGTTGCCATTCAATGTGAGCTTCCTTTTCATGCATTCCTTGTTTGTGAGTAATTTGTCGTGCATCACCAACCAAAGGAAGTGCTTTGTGCGGCTTGGCCCTTTCCATCTCCAAAGCTTCTTCCAGAAGCCCTCCTCTGTTGTCTCCAGCTGGTCAGCACAAGCTTGTATGCTGATTTGAGCCTGAACCTCCCATCCCTCTCCAAACCCCAAATGCATTTGTCTTCTCCCATATTGCTTTTTGGAGGTTCCATTCCAACAATCAGGGAAAGGATATTGGGAGGGAGGAGGGTTTGAAGTTTTTGCCAGTCCCAGTTCCCATTGTTATCAGTCCAGTCAGCAACTGATGAGTCCTCATGGGGGATGGGAGTGTCCTGTATGGTGAAGTCCTTGAGGAAGATTCCCTGATCCAGCCATGGATGGTGCCAGAAGCTGGTGGTTCTCCCATTTCTAATGCTCCAGTTGGTAGCACTCTTCATAAGGGGCATGGCCTTCATGATTGCCTTCCATAGGCTTGAGTGATTGCTTCTTTTCATTCCCACAATTTTTCCATCCTTGTGTTTGAATTACTTTCCCTGCATAACCTGCACCCACAGTTCCGAGCTATTATTAAGAATATGCCATGCAAGCTTAATCATGAAGGCCATATTAAGACTTCTAGCAGATCTTAGTTCTAGCCCCCTTTGATTTTTTGGTTTATAGACAGTTTCCCAAGAGACAAGATGGACTTTCTTCTTTTCCTCATTTGATCCCCAAACAAACCCCCTGATTTTTTTATCAATCAAGTCGCACACAGAAGCATGAATCATAAAGGTCTGCATTGCATACACAGGGATAGCATTCAACACAGAGAGAGCAAGAGTCACCCTACCCGCAAGGGATAGAGTTCTAGCTTTCCAAGAAAACAGTTTAAGGTCAATTTTATCAATGATGTATCGATAAGTGTTCCTATTAATCCTACCATGAATAACTGGGACGCCTAGATACTTTCCTAAGTCAAGGGTAGATTGGATACCAAGTTTTTCACATATGTCTCTCCTATCTCTCTCTCTAGTATTCTTGGAAAACAAGATTCTAGACTTTTCCCTGCTCACCAGCTCCCTTGAGGCATCACAGAATCAATCAACACATTGGTTGATGATTTCTGCTTGCTTCAAGGAGGCTTCTGCAAAAAGGACGAGGTCGTCCGCGAAGAAGAGGTGAGACAGGGGGGGTCCTCCAGGGGAGAGTCCAATCGGATTCCATCTCTTTTCACTAACAGCCTCAGAAATACAGTGTCTCAATCTTTCAACACAGAGCGTAAAAAAGGTAAGGGGAGAGTGGACATCCCTGTCTGAGGCCTCTGCTTGGCTTGAAACTCTCAGTTTCACCTCCTTCCCTCTTCACCTGCATATCCACTTTTGTGACGCACTTCATGATGATGTTGATCAGGCTTTGCGGGATTCCTGCCAGGGTCAGGGTTTCTTCAAGGAATTCCCAGTCCAAGCGGTCATAGGCTTTCGCCAGATCCAACTTCAGAAGCATTATCCCTTTATTTCCCACCTTCTTTGCCATTGAGTGTACATATTCCTGCAAAATAAGAATATTATCAGTAATGTGACGATTGGGCACAAAACTGGACTGGTTAGGTTTCACAAGAATATGCATGATGTTTTTCAGCTTGTTAGCGAGGCATTTAGCTAGCACTTTGTAACAAACGTTACAAAGGATGATAGGCCTAAATTGACTCATAGAGCTAGGGGAATCAACTTTTGGGATAAAGGCCAGTAGAGTCTCATTAATGAGCCTTATACTATCTGGATTCCAGAAGCAATTCTTAATGAAACAGAAGAAGTCTTGGCCAACAAGGTTCCAGCATCTTTTAAAGAAAAGAGCATGGAACCCATCTTTTCCAGGAGCCTTAAGGCCATCCATGTCCTTAACAATATTATGAATATCATCAATGGAAGGAGGTTTAATCAATTGCTCCCAAATATGGTTATCCAGGGGCGGGAATAAAGCAGTGATGGTATGCTGGGAGCATCTGGTGGCTTTGGTGAACAACTGAACGTAGTGCTCTCTTGCCATGGCTTGTAGTTTGTCAGGATCAGTGATCCATTCCCCATCTTCATTCTTAAGGCTGACAATTTTGTTTCTCTTCCTCCTGTAGAGCGTACTGGTATGGAAGAACCTAGTGGACTTATCCCCATGGATGTTTTAGTTTGCTCTTGACTTTTGGATCCAAAGGATCTCTTCTTGCCACAGGACGTCTTCCAGCGAAGATGCGAGAGTGAGAAAGAAAAAGAGAAATGCCATTATAGAAGAAAGCTGATCTTCCCACTATGATAGCCTCAGTCCTTGCTTTCTAAGATGGAGATAGGAAAGAAAGAAGCTAAGCCAGTGACTGGTCCTTAGACAGGGACAATGATGTAGGGTTCCTAGCATTAAGGATTTCAAGGGACTTCAATTCATTCGCCAAGCTTCTTTTCTTTCTGAATATACCAAAGACCTTGTTCCAGTCTTTGAGTTTACTGAACAAGTCCTGCAAAGCACAAGGAAGGGGGTGACCATTTTTCCATTCAGAATTAACAAAGGAAAAAAAATCATCATGAGCAAGCCAAGAACAAGGAATTGGAAGCGCCTCACCAATTTGGATGAAGCTGGGATGCTTTTGTTGCATAGCAGGATCGGCCTGTGGTCCGATTTCATTTTGATCAGGTGAAAGACAGTGGTTTGAGGGTACTTTTGTGTCCATTCCAGGTTGCAAAGTCCTCTATTGAGCCTCTCCCTAACTCCATATCCACCTTTGAACCATGTGAATCTAGGACCCGTGAATCCAAGGTCCATGAGTCCACAGTCATCAATGAAACTGACAAGGGGTTTGACTTTGGCAAAACTGAAACTGGCTCCTCCCTGTTTATCAGATGGTATTGTGATGGAGTTGAAATCTCCAAACAGTATCCAAAGGCCACTGATTCTATTATTGATCCCACGAAGAGCATCCCATATTCTCTTCTTGCATGCTCATTCGGGTTGGCATAGATAGCAGTAAGAGCACAACATTCTCCACTTGACATTGAGCAGTCCAGGTGTATGAACTGCTTATGGATCTCGGTGTTGGACATCTGGACGTCACTCTTATTCCACAACGCCCAGATGCCTCCACTAAATCCAGAAGCATCTGAGATCTCACAGGAATCAAAACCAAGAGTTGAGATGATGTCGATGGCATCCTTCCTACTAACTCTTGGTTCAACAATACAAACAATATTTGGTTTGTGAGTAGACTTGTAGAAATCAAAGGTAGGACAAAATTTGAGATGCTTCGCACCTCTGCAGTTCCAAAAGAAGACTTTAATCATAATACAGATTAGAGAGTGCTTCCCTTTCCTCAACACAGGGTTGAAATCAAACAAGGTCAAGGCCATAGCCGTCCCATCCACTTCTCCTCTGCAATGTGCTTTCGGATCATGGATGTCATTTTCAGGTTTCTGTGTTTTCTCTTCCTGCTTGGATTCAAAACTAATTCTGCGGGGAGGATGCTTCACATTTTTTGGTGACAGATTGTTCTTCATGTCAGGGCTTTTGCCTTGTTTACCATTCTTCATAGCCATTTCCTTCATTTTTGGTTGATGTCCCTGCTTTCATCCTTGGATCTTTCTTTCCCCATCCCATTTTTTGGTTTGGATGGGTTAGCCATGCTCGTAGATGTTTGCTGGTCGTCAACCTGCAGGTTGGTACTATGTCCCTTGTTCCCTTATGCCATGACTTTCTTACTTTGAGAGCCTTCTTGCTTCTTTTCCCCAATGTTCATCTTGGCTTTAGTCTTTGGAGCCTCCTCTCCCTTTTCAGTGACCATTTTAGAGCTGGACTTTGGAAGAATATAAACAAGCAAATCTGGATTTTGATGACCAAATTGGGAGCTTCTTAGGCTGAAGGGCGTCCTTTCTGTATGTACTCTTTTCCTAACATTATGAGCGAGTTCCATGTAAAATATGTTCCAATGTTATGTTAAAGATTAAGACCCAATTTGCTTTTGTATCAAGTTTCTCTTAGGCTTTAGTAGTGGTCATTTCGATTGTAGGGTAATTTTATGGGATTCAGATTGCTAATTTATGTGGTTCTATGAGCATTTTGATTATTCGACCCTTATGCTACTATTTTGTGTTCTTTAGTCAATCCCATTTGGGTTACACTGTTGGTATTACAATATAACTCCTTTCATTTCTTTCTTCGTAGCTACCTGAGCATCACTGACTACAGTGCCTTGATCCAGCAAAGAACCCGATTCATGGGGAGGATTTTCTTTTGAAACCAGCATCAACGCATACTTTAGTTTAAAGTAACTCCTGTACCTCTATGTCTTAGGTAAACCCAGATTTGTCCCTTTTCTATCTCACTTGGACTGTCACATTCATGTCATTGATTAAGTCTTACTCTATTCATGTTATTAGTTAGATTTTTGTTAACACATTACCAATTGGTGATTTGCCATTCAATGATCCACTACCAACCTTATAGTGTACTTTTTACTTGCGAAATAAACTTTCATATGTATTTTCTTTATGCAAACTAAAACGTCCATTCAACTTGATGTAGAAGGATGCTGCTGTAATGTGTTTCCTCTGATGAAGTTTTAGATTGTTATTGAATTAAATTTACTATTGACTATCACCTCCCTTCTTATTGCCTTTTGTTTTTGTTAATCCATAGTTTCCATGTGTCTTTACTACTTCATGAAAAATGATTGACATGGGAATGGTGTAAGATGTCTACAGGCGCCATACAACTTGCTGTCATGAACGTAACTTGCTGCAATATCACGATTGAGACAAAAGGTGGTAGCTAATTTAGTGATTTAAGCGTTACCAACTAAAGTGGGCAGTGCCAGGTACTACTATTTGCAGCAATATGTTACAAATTTATGTAGAATAGTGGCTTGAGAAGCTTTGTAAAGCTGCCTTTCTAGGAGCTTGATGGTTTTAAAGTTGATATGCACACACGCTCCAGCATGTATAATGGCTGCTAACCTATGTGAAATGCTTGCGTGTATAGATTTTTCAAGTCAATGAACATATATGTTTATGTCGGTTAATGCTCTCACTTTAACGGGAGCTATTTGTTAAACGTGCAACTGAATATCACTAATGTGATGGTCTTCCATGATCTTTAATGTTGTAGGTGTGCACTCGGTTTGAGTTTGACCAACAATGATGGAAGCTGTTTGTTGGAATGCATCCATGGAGACTTGCAAGAGCAGATGATTCATTTTTATGCACTGCAAGTCTGCAATTTCACGGTTGGAACTTATAATTCAGTTTTATGCACTTCAACTTCACAATCTAAGTCAGTTCTTTTCACACTTGAAGAGTGGCTGAAATTGACGACGATGAGGAGGAGGAAGAGACACTTTTTTTTATCTCTCTTTATGTATCGCTCTTCACCAGGAGTACATACAGGTTATCTTCAAACTGTTGTTACTACTTGAAGGTTTTGACTTGAGTGCTAAACGTTCCTATCTAATCTATAGTTTGGAAAAGGCAGACATTGGGATATTTAGAAGCTCAAAGCTTAAATTTCAACTTTATCTTTCTGCAGAAGGTGAGTTGAGTTATGGGTTGGTGAGTTGCACTTCTTTCTTACTCCATCTACTGAAATTGGATAAAAAAAAATTTCTCGGAAGCCATGGTTGAACTGCTTTCCAGTCCTGCATTCTTTTTTATCTCTTGGGATTTTTCAGGAAGCCATTGTCGAACTGCAACTATTGGGTGACGAATCTCACAGGGCAAACTAGATACATACGTGATTTATGTCCGGTCATTTTTCATCTAGAACTCGATTTTCAGAATTCTGCTTCTCATCTTCTTCCCTAGTTTCAGAGTTTTGCTCAATGTTTTCAAGTACACTGCTTGGAGAGGGAGGGTTAGGTACTAGATCCCAGTAAATAGCTCTTGTTGTCTGTTTTCAAAGGAATTGGACCCTCTTTGACCAGTCATTTGTTCGGTCTATGATGTTCGTTTGTCTGTGAAGCTTTTGCTCACTATTTTGGGCGCTATTCCTATTTGCTTTGTTTCTTTGACTGTTTTTCATTTGTTTGACCTGGCAAAAGTTTGCTTTTGTTTGTTTCCAGTGCTTATGGACGACCAGATGGAAGCAGAGGTCGTGGAAGAGCTAACCAAGGCGGTAGCTTTGAAACTCGAGCTGTATTTCCTACAATGATTGTTGTTCTAAATTGTAATGACTACCAAAGCTTACATATCAAAATGGTAGAAAAAAGTGTCTCAAATACCAAGGACTACGTAGAGGCCGAGTCCAGGCTAAATATCACCCTCAAAGAAAATGTAAGCAGAAGAAAACTCCTCTCTATTCGATTTTCGGTTTTGTATAGAGAAGAAAGCACATTTGAATCTGCAGATTGATTGTCCTTCACTCCTTTGGGTGATACTGTTGTACCTTCTTGGTGCTGTGGCATTTTCTTCTTTTGCTTTTACCTTTTTCTATTATAGTTGCTCCTTAATTTTGTCATTGAATGGTTAAGACCCGATTCTGGATTAGATCAATATGTTGGGAGTTCAATTATCTTTTGGATTAGCCATTACTAAATATTTCCCTGGAAAACTGTTGTGGTTGAGGGAATATTGACATTTCTCGCTAGCTGCAGTTGCGAGGTTTTGGTATTAGAGATAAAAGCTTCAATGAGCAGGTAGTGGTCATTCAACAGTCATGGATAATAATGTAGTGTGCATAAACTATTTGTCTTTCCTCATACATGGATAATGTTCGACAATCAGAGTTCCTTGGCAATGCATTTGTTTTTTACTTTCGCGTTCGGAATGTGTAAGCTCATTGGAAAATATGTACGTTAAGAACCATGAAAACAGGCTAATAATACCACCCCGATTGTAGTAATATGAACTACCTACCAGAAGATCATGCTGATTGGTTGGCTCATCTTCTACTGCTCTTCATTATATGTGTGAGGTAACCCTTTGACCAAACAAAGCATTCTTATGACATGGAGCAATGAAAGCACAAAAAAGTTGCATCTTTTCAAAGAGAATGAGGACAATATCTCCAAAGTTTTATTAGAATGCCAAACATCTTTTCACAATCTTTGGCTATTAGTGGTAGTTGGTTGAAATTTAGTATTTCATTAGGTAGCCAAATTCGAGTAATGAGTATATTTATTACGTGTCTTTTACACTGATGTTAGGAACGGGTAGAGACTTATTTATAACATAAATAACGATGTGATTTAAACCTTTTCATTTCTATAAAAATTATTTACACATGCTCTAACATTAAGTAATTCTTAAAACACACAATTTGAGGAACATGGGTCGGTGCTCCTTCTTTAGAGCACAAAAATACGAACTTGAATGAATTTGAAACCATTCACGAATTAATAGATGCCACTAAAAGACAACTAGCGATTGTTTCACCTGAGAGACGCATACATATGGTGGGTGAGAGTCAGGACGGAGAATAATTGAAGATAATACAAGCTCTATTTAAGGCTTAGATTAGCATACGAATTATCTGCCAATCACCAGCGATGGACTAAGACGCTACAAAATTCAGACTCTTTACATGTACTATGAACTCAGCCAATATAGCCCCAGGACTAGATTGGAATAGATAGATTCGATGAGATTATTGAGGTGTTCACTGATTTAGAGATTGTTTATACTTGTAGAATAGTTTTTTGTATTATAATATTAAATTATTTAGATGATACCCTTTTGGTGTAAGAGAACGAAGATTTGACGGTCGATAGTTAGAAAAAAAATGGGAAGATAAATAGAAACAAAAAGTCCGTGGGTTGGTGGAGTACTAGAATGTCATTTGGAAAAATTTGGAGGTTGAACAGGGGGGAATACATGTACTTTTATTTTTTTATTTTAAAAAATAAAATAAATACAAAGTGAATTTAAATAATTTTATTTATAAAATTGATAACAACTTGTTTGAATGAGCTATAAATTTATTTATTTTATTTTTAGTCTGAACGTATATATCGAATTAAAAAAAATATTTGATGATTTAGTATCTTGATCCTGATGTATATATTTGTCTAAAATTTGGTAGTATGTTCAAACATTTTTAAAATACCTATCATATCAATGCTTTATTAACATCTTGATATACAATTCTCCAAAAATAAAAGTTTCCCTCTCTAACTCTCTCGAGTTTGACTAATCAGTACTCAGTACCTTAAAAGTAATCCGGCCAATTAACCGGATAAAAGGCTAGTTTTATTTTTCATTATAGAGTATTGAATTATTAAAAAAAAGAGGCCCAACTGCCAGACAGTTTATTATTAAAAATAAAAAATAAAAAAATACGCCAGACAGTTGATTCACGCCAAATTTGGCGCCCGTCCCTTGCACCAAGCTGCAATATGAAGCAGTGAGCAGAGCAGCATCCCGCTCCAAAAGAGACGAAAAGAAAGGAAAATCGTGAAACCATTGTTGCATCTTCCGGAACCTTAGTGCTTTCTTCCTCCCTGCAGACGCAATCAATAATGGAGAACCTGGACTTGCAGATAAACAATGCGGAGCGAGAGGTCCTGGCTTTCGGAGCTCGCGTGGATGGTGCTTTGGGCGCAGGGGCGATCAACGCAGATGTCGGCAACCAACTGTAAGTGTTTGCGAACGACTAATTACTTGGTGTGTTAAAAGTGAATAATGCACAAGAACAAGCTAAAAGTGTATGCAAATTGCTCCAAATTAATCCACATGAATGATACTCTGTGTGTGTGTGTTTTTTTTTCTTGGTGTTGATGATGGATGGTAGGCTGGATGAGGCCAGATGGGTTCATGAGTCGGTGAATTCTGTAACAGCGAGGATTGCAGCTACTCGGGCTGTAAGGGACGACTGTAAGACCGACTCATGGCATTGCTGGGCTTTTCTTTGTTTTCATTTATGATCTGCTTCAAAACTTCATTTCTTTTTATGGTGGTTGAAATGCAGGGCAGATGCTGTAATCCGTATCTGAACGAAAAAGCAGGTGGCTTCCAATTGAGAGAGGCTTTCGTGACAAGGTGAACAAGATGGCCAGAAGGGATCACCGCTTTCTTCCTTTCAGTGCCGTTACTACTGTCATACCCTCAGGCTCTGCAAATCAAGAAGAGTATCCGGACCCGAGAGCCAGTTTAAGAACCGCTGTGGCCGAGTACAATCGAATCGTCAATCATGAAGATGAAGATCCTACAATCAAGATGTTGGACGATGCTATTCAGAGTGCGACTGCTGAAGCCACTGATCTTTTACGAGCTCGGCCTGGACAAGGACCCTTGATCCTGCGTGTCACATCAGAGGCGGAAATCCAGGCCATTGCTCGCTTCAGAGATCCGGACAATGGAGGCCCTATCCTGCTCACCACCTATCGACATGAAAGGAATTTTGCAACTTTGATGGGCGCAGCTCAGTTCTACGGGTTTGAAATCAGAAGGGAGTGAGTGAAACCTCCTTTGTCAACATCTTGAGTACCTGCTAAGCTAGCTATAGCAACGTTGATGACTTAGTAACTCTTTGTTTTATATGAGTTCTTATGATAGCTAAGAAGAAACCAAGTGGAAAGGAATTTTACCTGTAGTGAACTTGTAAGGATTTGGGTGAGCGTGACAACTCTAACTTACTTTGGTTGTTATGTATTAGCTCAATTCATTTCAACCCAATGATAGTTATGTAGCAGGTAATTTGAAGAGCAAATCGAACACAGTTTTGGTTTGTGGATGATACTATCTGATTTGGTATCTACCGTTGAAATTTTGCTGCACTGTTATCTTTTCCTGTTGAGACGTTTAGAATGGTGTTGCTGGTTATTAATGGAATCCTGTTTTTACTTGATCGATCCTTCCCTTCTGTTCTGCTGTGTCTTCATCGGAGCCACTGTTTCGGTATGTAGGTTATTATAAGCTAGCAATTTAGGTTATTATTCATGGAGTTCCACATTTCCATCTTCAACGAGATACCAACTACACAGTGAAGGCTTATTCAACTACTTAAAGTTAATAGCAACAGTAATAACAATGGAAGAATACATTTGTACATTATGACAGGAAGAGCAGAAAAGAAAATAAGAACTTGATTGGGACAATAATAACATGTTAATAAGAATCTTCTTCTTCCTCTTCTGCTTCTTCTTCTGCTGCTTCTTCTTCTTCCTCTTCTGCTTCTTCTTGCTCTTCTTCTTCTGCTTCTACTTCTTGTTCTTCTTCTACTTCTTGTTCTTCTTCTTCTGCTTTGTAAAAGATGCTATCGCTATGGCTAAGACTAAGCAAGAAGGTTATGCGCTTGCAACAAATTCTCACGACCAAAAAGAAAAGAAAAATATCATCTAAACATTCCTTCAATCTGGATTACAATACGTGCTTAGCAATTCGTTGCTCTTTGATATTACCTACTTCGTCACCATGGAACCACGATTTGTAGTGACAAGATATATCTCGCTCTAAATGTTCAACCATAGATACCTGGGATCAGAGCAAAAATGATAAGAAAACAGGCAATCTCTTTCGATAGTCTTCAGCACACGAACAAACATCTTTCAATCTCATTAACATAAACAGAATGTTCCAGTGCCAAAATATTGGATGAAGATTAGAAGCATTTTCGAGCCTGTATAATAGAGTGAGCCAACACCGAAGGCTATTCTTGCCTCTTGGGTGGAATCCATGATCGATTCAGTAAGCATCTATATTGATTCTCAGTGTTGAAGTCATGACAAAAAATCATATACATGTTCAATTGCAAATAGAATCCTACCTAATTCAGTGGTGAAATCCCAAGTTCAAGCAGGTGGCGAAGCCATTACTTCGGGAACTTGATGTCCGGAGAAGGTGAACGGTAGGATGAAAACTGAGAAGGGATCCTGCATCGGCAACATGGGAGAAGAATTGAGGGCAATAGATCACATGTGAAGGGAAAGAGCTACTTGAGAAGAAGAAATGCAGGTTGGTGAATAAACTAAAAAGTAGGAGTAAAGCTTCAGAAAGACACAACAGCACATTCCAAACTCAGGAATGAGAACCAACTACTCACTTTACACACCTCAAAACGTACTCCGCTGTTTGATGGAACCTAAGGCTACAAAATATTCCATCAGATTCTGAATGAAGACAAGGTTGGCACTAATAATTATTGCTCTCAGAACTCTAGAGACAAGCAACTAGGACTTCTAGACTGTAAAACCTGCTCCAATGAAGACACGGTAACCTGCTCTGCCCCCTATGGATGGTTGATATGCCAGACCCTTCTGTTGTAACAAACCAAATATAATTGAAGCTTCCTATCGTGTTGTACAGCCATCTAATTGGAAAAGGTTGAGCAGACAAATCAACATGCTTCTATTACATCAGTTCTCAAGATCCTCGTAATGAAGTCAACTGGTTTCCTAACACGATAATTGGGTACTTTTGATAGACTAAATTGCACTTCCACAGCCAACAGATATCTCCAAGAGACCCAGTAACCAGTACTAGCGTCTACATATTAGATTTGATGACCATGGCTTCTCGTCCTGAATCACCTACTTCCCTCTAACGAAGTGGCCAAAGTGGAGTATGCAAGAAACCTAATAATTTAGAAGGCACTAAAGGAGAGTCACAGTTCAAAATTACAGGACCTAACAAACTAGGCTCAACATGTAGAGATTGTGGGTACCAAGCTACCTACCATTCATTTGTCAATAACTCAACATAAACAAGCATTCCACACTCACACAGAAATTGGAAAGCATTGATGCATTCAACATTCAAATTGTCCAATATCGAGAACAGAAGTTACCTGCTGCAGAAGTCAGTAATGTACCGCACAATGAACTAGATCAACACGAGCATCAGCGTATCTGCCAAGTTCAGGAACCCAAACAAGAAAACGCAGCAAAAACACACACAAACAGGAGATTTTGCCAAACAACCCTTGAACCCCATCAGTAAATTTGATTCAGAACTAGTCCCAAGTTTGAAATCCACATATCTCTTGTTAATATACAGTAGACTACAAACAGCTCCTAGGAAAAATCTAGAACCCTTGAACATACTTCTTGTTCTTCTTCTTCTGCTGTTGCTTCATCTTCTTCCTCTTGACAGAGAAACAAGTACTTATAGATAAGTGAAGTGAATTTGGGAGGTGGTGGTGTGAGAGCTGAGTCGAGCTTCCAATTCCATCTTAGCTTCAGAGATATGAGCATCAACCTGAAGTGGTTCCCTGGGGGCAGTGGATCTTAAATTTTTGGTATCAATAAGGACCTGCTTCAGTGAAAGCGAGGCCATAATGATGTAGGCAGCGAGCTCCATCTGAGGTTTGCGACAATCAACAACCTGCCAGTCGCTAGGATGCACCCCGTGCAGCTGAAGCACCTGCAGAGAGTGATGCTTCCAAGTTGGCAACTCCTGCTCAGGATCCTCCCACTTATTGTAGTAGCACAAATGTATGAACGATATGAACAGTTGGCGCAACATTGGAGCTGCCCTCAGCAGGGCCGTGCACTCCAACATACTTGTACCAGCAAAGTCTATATATATGGATAAATCCAACACCGTGAGCTTCTCAAACCGCAACCATTCAGGAGCCCGAGCAGATAGAGGTTTAAAGTTGTCAGTGGTGAGGTCGTACTTGAGAAACTGCAATCGAGGCGCAAACTTGTTGGATTCAGACCGAGACCACGGGAAGTAGCAGGGGTCATCACCATCCGCCGCAAACTGGATGTGCCTACAATACTCAAATTCCCGAAGTTGAGGAATGTCGTCCCCGAATTCGACCCTTCGGACGACTGGTCCTCCACCCACCTTCAAACTACGAAGACCAGGGGCAGAAACGATTTCAATCCTAGTGACATTGTGGAACTCTTCTTCTGGACACCAAAATGTCAGCGTCTGCAGGCTGTCGTTGTTGGGACGACAAATTCTGATCACTGTATCCTCGTCGTGGAAGGAGCAATTGTTGAGAGACAGGTGCTGCAGTGAGTGGCAGCGTGACAAGACATGATCCAGAGTTCCTCCAGGAATCATGGACACGCCCTGAAACTCCAAAACCTCGAGGCGGCTGAGGTCTTGCTTGGCGACGAATTCAGGGGTGAAGAGGGGGACAGGGATCGCGTCGCGAGCCTCCCAACCGGGGCGCAACAGAGACAGTAGGGTAAGCCGTTTGACTCCCTCGCCCAGACCGAATTGGATCCACCTCCACCCAGCCTCTTCCATCTCGGTAAACTTGAACACAATCTTCAACTCGTCCAGTCTGGTTTTGGACTGTCGGATCAAACCGATGGCTTGGTCGACCCGGTCCACGAACCGCCGCCGCTGCGGCTCGGATCTCCTGTCGTCGTCGTCGGACTTGTTGAAATCCAGAACAGCGCTGTCGATCAACTGCCACATGTTCCTCCACCGTTTCCCCAGCAGGCTGCTGCATCTCGCCGCTTCGTTCATTGTGGTCGCCGACCGCGAAAGGATCCCCACCGCTAACTCATCCGGCAGTTTCGAAAATTGGTCGGTTGTTGCTTCTTCTTCTTCGCCGCCGACCACCGGTGTCGCCATTCCCAAGTTGTTCCTCCTTCTCTTTCTGCCTTGTTCCGCTTCAAAGATCGACATTCTACTTTTTTGTTTTTTTCGCCAAAAGAAAAAGAAACCACCTCCAGCCCCAAACCTTTTTATATATGTTTTGTTTCCTTTTACTTGTCCCTCTCATCCTCGGACTCGGAAAGGGAATCTTAGTTTCCAACTTCTCAAAGGAAAGGATCCATTTTGTACAAATCCAGCCCATGAGTAATATGGATTATTGAATTCGTGGGCTTCGCTCGGCCCATTTGACATTCTCTCTGAAATCTACGAGAGAAGTCCGGGAATCGTCGCCTTCTCCTTCCCGACCTCCTCCCTGTCACTACTCGGCTTCCGCCGTCTCCGGTAGACTACAGCTGCCTCCGCTCATCCATCGGCTTGGAGTCTCGGGAGTTGCGCTGCAACTTTCTTGTCCGAACTCCTCCCAGGTACCAATCTTACTTCAGTCACCGATGCCTCCAATCTCTTACTAATCAACGGCCGAATGCTGAGGGAGGTAGGTCGCTTCTCTCCCCTTTCATTCCCTTTGAGTCGCAATCAAAGTGTCAGTTTATGATTACGATTAGTGGGTACCTGGCGATTTGGATTTTCGTCATTTAACTTGATTCCTTTGCTCGGTTGATAGATTCTTGAGTTCAGTTGTTGTAATGAGTCGGGATATAGTCAAGCTGTGGGGAAAAAAGAAGGTTTTTGTCCGACACTTCACTTAGGTAGACTACGTCAACTTAAGCTTGACTTTATTTCCCCCCATTTGTGAAAGATAATCTTGTATGACTCGTGCATTTGATAATGTAGAATGGAAGTTTGCTTGCTGTCTTTCAGTTTAACTTTACTATGTTTTGTAGTGATGTTTAGAGAGGTGAGGACTCTAAATGAAATGAAATGTTTCTGCCATCATTGCTAACTGGATTTGTTGGTTGTACAGTACTATGCAGAAGAGTTGGTGTATGTAACAGATCATGATGGATCGTAATCTACAGCAAGAGATGAATGAATCATCGATTACTACCCCGAGGTTTACTTACATACATGATCGCGAGAGGGCCTTCGGCAGCAGTCAATTAATGTGCATCATGGTTATAGTTCGGCAAAGCAATCTGAAGAGTTCTATTAATGTGCCTGCTTGCTTTCTGTTTCTCGGCAAAATGGATTCTACCTCTTCTAGGTCCTGGAGGCTGCAACTCAGGAAATCCAACTTTTGAATCGACAGGATAAATCACCTTTTTAGTTCTTTTGTGGAGTCTAGTGTTCAGTTCAGTCCTTCTCAAACTTGGTATTGGCAAGTCTGTTATGAAAGGTTAGACGTAATGAAATCAGGCTCTTCTACAAAGCATATTTTTTTTGTTAAAACTCTATATCATGTTCGCTAGTTGCTAACATAGGCTGGCACTTGCAGAGTTGGTTTTGATCATGCACATTTCAGAGTTCAACTTGAAACACATTTATAGAAGGTATGCACATAAGTTTTTTTTTCTTTTTTGGTATTTGGCCATCGCCATAGCCAGGGAACTGGGAAGTACAAAATAATAAAGAGTTAGCTGGCTGATGTAGGGGTTTGAGATTGCTTCTATTTGCAAGCCTCTGTCTTTCAAATTAAAACACACAGCGTCATACCATTTTGATCAGAATTTCTGCAGAAGGTCCTTGTTGACCTGTTCTTTTTATCCCCTTCCTACTTCTGTATTGTCTGCTGTGCAGTGGAAGAATATCTCGCCATTTTTGTGCCAGTAAGTAAGATATTTACTGGATTTTGTCTCTGATTTTGCAGAAGGAAGAACTCACTCCGGTTTTCAAAGTATGAATACAAGTTGTGCACATTTCTTCAGATTTTTAAAATCCTCCACAACTCATTCACGTTTGGTGATAGTTATGGCGTCGTATGAACTGACAGCAAGAATAACTTAGATGAATATGCACCAGATTTGCTATCTTCTCGAGTTCTGATTTTACATAGCGTTGATCAATGATTTGGAATTTTGGTCGCGTTCAGGAGTTGCATCCACCTTTGATAATGCTGCTGGTTCCTATCTGGAAAGCATTGTATTGTATGGTGCTATCCGGTTCAGCATGGCGCTGCAGGCGTTGAGGTCAGTTGCTGAGAGGTACAGCGCAAGCAGTGCCAGTGTTGCAGGTCATCATTCCCTAGGAGGCTGGCTTTGCTCTTCAGATTGACAAGGCGTTGGCTAAAGAAGGCATATTTGTGGATGCTCGTCTCTTCAAGCCACCTTCTGTGTCTCTCGCTGTGAGCTTCAAGAACATGGGGGAGAAGGCTGAGTTCGCCTGAAAGAAGTTGAAGGCTATGATTCCTTATGCTGCTACTGCTGAAACAGTGGTTCTTCTAGGTTATGGTCCTTATGGAACTGTGTTGGGGACAAAACAAACACGGGATTCTATTTTTTGTGTGACGAAATGCTATGCTGGTGTAACAAAAAATAATTAGAGTTATTTTTTGTGGGCAAAGAACAATTTTACCTTTAAACTTGTCTGTTGTCATTTTGGCTTATGAAGTTGAAACTCTTATCATCCCAACATTATTAAGTTCTTATGGTTAACCTGATTTGGACGAAATCTATATAATAATAAGTAAAGCCACAAAAGAGAAAAGATGTGGGTCAATTTCCTCCCTCATCTTCCAAAATTCAAAATTTGGTGAACCTTGAACTCGGCATCCAAACTCGATATCCCTTAATTGAACAATTTCCGGTGTGTCCTTCTCGTATGTCACGTTTTCTTATTTCAACAGATCGAGCATTGTACGTCTTCATTCAATATAAACTATTCTTCTATTTTTCGACCTTTAATTTGCATAGTAAACTCTATGAGGGAGTCGTGAGGGGAATCGATTAATGATGATTCAATAAAAGAATCAGTGTCCAGTTCAGAGAAGTTCTCCAAAGAGAAAACAAGAAATAGTTTATATTCATAAAGAGAAGGAATAATGGAATTGGATTCGGTGGGAGAGAAGTGAGGAGTTCAAGTATGCCATTGATGATAACTACTAATAGTTAAAATCACTCAAAGACAATTGTCAACCACGAAGAAAATGTAATCTTTAAATATGAAAAAAATAATGTGTCAATTGAAGAATTGTCGACACTCTTACGGAAAAATATAATCTTTAAATATGAAAAAAATAATGTGTCAATTGAAGAATTGTCGACACTCTTACGAGTAATTTATTAAGTTTCAATCTACATGTTGTCAAAGTATGTGTTGGGCGCTTGGTTGCTTATCAGTGTTAAGGAGAAAGAACAAATCTCATAAAATGTTAATGCCCTAAACAATGTTAATCTACTGCATGAAAATGATGATTCATATTTACAAATATTTTACCATTAAAGATTGACTCCCAATGAAATGCCAAAAAGAAGGAAGAGGTTGTTGTGAAGATAAAAGGTTTAGTGATGGAGACTAAGGCATTGTTATTGATGGAGATGATGATTGTTTTGATGGCTACGTGATCACAAAGAAATCCAAATGAATATTGTAGTAATTTTTGATAGTGAAGAACAAGTAGTGTGGTTTGATTAAGGGGTCGTCTGAAAAATTGGAGTATAAATCATAAGATTCTGAAAGATTCCAATATTATACCTCATTGGATTATTGAATATTTCTAAATGTTCATTGTTCGATAACTGAAATTGTAACATTCATTTAAAATAGAAATTCTATTTTTTTCAAATGATATGTTTATCCTTAACTAAAAGAATCATAACGGCTTGAGAAATATTAAGAATTTATTACAAAGAGTATTTGGTGGGATTAAAAAAAAAGGATAAAGTATAAAAAAGAGATAAAAATTCTTACAAATCAAGATATCAAATCTCTCTTATTATAAGAGATTTTATATCTCAATATTTTAGAGATTCGAAATTTCCGAAACTAAAATGCATACATAAAAAAACAGCAAAAACCAAAAAATCTATGACCTTAATAATTTTCTCCACTCTAAGTTTTTCAGGAGTTGATTCTCTTGCATGTGGTTTCTTTTAACTTTTGACAAAGACAGTTGTCAATCAATCAGTTAGCATGCCTGGAAATTCTATAACTGACATTTTTTGTACTTCTAGCAACTAAAAATTCGAAAATTTTTATGCTAAAAAAATAAAACGTGTCTTACTTCATAAACGTATCATTATTTATATCAGTGACAAAATTCATCCAACCAACGGACGTGACAGAGTTGTAATCTAGATTGCAGAAGGAATAATGAAGAACAAGTTCGAGGAAGAACAAAGAAGGACGAAATGTATGGAAGGAAGAAACGCTTTCATTAAGTTATGCTACGTCGTTTTATTACTAGAGAGTTGTAATAGGAATTAGCCCGTTTAATACACGGTTTAAGATTTAAATAGACAAAAGGAAAGCAGCCAAGTGACATTGCTCTGTAATCCATTCGTCTTTACATTTTAGCTGAACTATAAAATGCAGAGGATGATCTCAGTGGAAGCTGAAGATCAATCCTTCCACAAAACCCTACTAGGTTTTCTCTGAGGGACATATGATCTAGTTTTATGTTATAGCTTATGAACGGTTGTTAAATAATAGTTCTATAATAATTAACCGTTGAATCATCAACCACGAACTTTTTTGGTTCAGCATCCGATCCGATCCGATTTTGAAATTGGGCAACGAGTTGAGATGGAGATCCGGGTTTGCGGAAGTATGTTGAGGACTCAGGAGGTTGATTTGGGAATGGAATTGAATTGGTTTGAGGCTTCAAGATCCTAAAGAGATTAGCAAGGAGATTACTTAGGGAGGGAGGTATTGATGGGAAGGGGCTTTTAGTTTCCTGAATTTCAAGAACGTCCTGATTCCTGAAACCCTACTATATATATATATAACCTGACCCGGATCCGGCTTTCGTCTTCCCCAACGATGGATTTATACTCAGAGCTACCGGAGGACATATTGGCGAAGATCGCGAAAGATCACTTGCCGAGCTTCTCCCATTTCGTCCCTTTCTCCGGCGTGTGCAGATGGTGGAGAATCGTCGGTCTCCAACAACTCCACCTCAACAACTACCGCTTCCCATGCCTCCCTGGCTTCCTACAATCCCGGACCCTCACCCCCGATTCCCATCGATTCCACCCGCTCCCCGATTTCCTCGCCGCCGCCGGTGATGGCAGCGGCACTCCTCCTCCTCCTCCCCGTCCATATTCCAGATCACGCCGTGGGCTCCCCCGCCACGTCACCATCCCGCTCGGTCTCGACACGAGAATTAGCCCACCGACGAATTCAAATAACCCGTGCGTCGTCACTTCCAAAGACGGGTGGATCCTCGTAATCCAACCCGCAGCTCGACCCGACCCGGTGAAGCCGTACCTCCTCAACCCGATCACCGGCGCGTTCTTCACCCTCCCTCCTCTCGTCATCTCGCCGGACGATATTTTGAAAGCCGTCATCTCCTCCTCCCCCGACCGTCACGATGAACGCTGCCACGTCATCCTCGTATTCTCCTCCCCTCGTAGCCCCCACTGCCAGCTGGCATGGCGCGAGGTGGGCGTGGGCCCAGAAGAAGGGGGGAAGAAGAAGAAACAAAAGTGGGCATTCATGGGCCTGGACTTTATTATGCTGAAAAAGGCCCAATTCCAGGACGCCTTCTATTCACAAGGCAAACTCTATCTCGCAGACGAACGCAGCCTCCACATTTTCCACAACTTTATAATAATAACCCCACTTGGACTTGGAGGTTCGAGATCCCGAGTCACGATCCCTTTCGGCGGTGAGGTGCGCCTTCGATTGTTCCACCTCGACGACGACGACGGCCAGCTCCACGTCATCAGATACAAAAGGACTTTGATTTCCTTCGACTCCGAGCCATTCAAGGTATACAAGCTGCGACAACATGCTAATTACGACGACGAACAATCACACGCCGGCTGGGAAAAAGTGAGGAGCTTGGGCGGCAATTCTGTGTTGTTGAGCCAGCAGTCTCACCTCCACCAGTCGATTTGTCTCCCTGCTTCCCGCCATAACGGGGTGGAAGACGGCCGTATATACTTCGTCCATATCGACGACTTCCACCGTGGCTACCAGGATAAATGTTGTTCCTCCGGCGTCTTCGATCTCTCCAGCCAAAAGCTCGAATGTTTTGCCGATGATCAAAATCAGCACCGCAACTGTTTTGCTTTCCTCCCAATGCCATGGTAAAACTAATTACTAGCTACTTTTTTTTTTTTTGCCAACTATTGGCTAGCTCGCTATTATTGTGAAAATCGAACCGGATCAATGGCTACGCAATTAGAACCAATAACCCAATTAGGATAGTAATTCGGCTTATTTGATTGAATGGTTAGGACTTAGGAATGAACCAAATGTTTTTTTTTTAATGATTTGATTTAAAATCAAAGGAATAACCATTACGATTTGACTAGTCAACCAATTCACAATTTTAACCATGCACAAAAGGTTAAGAAAAAAAACTTTAGCAACGTAAAGTAAGATCATCCAACCTCGATCACTAATTTTGTTTATGCTTCATTTTCTTCATTTTCCAGTCTTTTTTCAACTTAATTAATGTGGTCCACTATGGATCTTGATCATCCTGATTATTGGTTTGAATTAAATAATAATAAAAGGATGATTACCTTTGTGAGATATATAGCTTGAATGCTTTGACCAAGCTTTTTTGCGGATAGATGATAGGGATATGAATTTGTTTATAGTTAGCTGTAATTTCACTCGTAAATTAGTGTATAATATATGAGCGGTTTTAACTAACTATTCGATAACGATTAACTGTTGAACCATTAATCACTAACTTTTCCGGTTGACTTGCAATTAGTTACTATTTACTACTCTCTACGTCTACGTGTAGGAATATTTCTAAGCATCGAGAAGCTAATAATGACTGTAAGAATAATGGAAGTGGAAGTGTACCACTGCCAGCCGATGCATTACCCACCAGGAAGAAGAAGAATGATCAACACCAACATGATGATAGTACTGATGCTGCTGATGTCATGGTTCGTTGCCGCAACAACAAATTTCAACCGCTTTTCTCAACGTCCGACGATGACGAATGCGGTTACTATAATGATGATGGTTCGGAGGAGCAGGATGGAAATGGCGCCGCCATGGAAGCTCTGCGGCAGCAGCTGATTGCCAGCTTACGTACGTAATACAGTGTGATCATTGGGATCAGTTGATATGATGTAATTCGATCGTTTCTCTTCATTCAACAGCTTTGATTATTGGTTCCTCGATCGGTCGTGCATGTGAGGTTCAACAATATTATGTTAATATTTTTACAAAACGTATTTTCATAATATGAAAAAGTGTGTAATATATACATTCGTCATTCAAACTATCAAGGAAGTCACTCTTAGTGTAACTTATCAAAAAATCGTTCATGATTTCATCAATCATATTTTGAAGTGTGTTCTTCATGTATTTCATTGCAGAAAAAAATGTTCTTACAACACTTGTCGTGGCAATAGAAAACAACAATGCCAATTTCAAAAGTCAACAGACTAATGAAAAACACTTGGAGGTCGTTTGGATTAAGATTTTTGATGAGAGATTTTAATCACAATCTCTCATTATGCAGAATTTTATACATTTCTGCGTTTGGTAAGTATGAAGGTTTTTACAATTAATTAGGAATTTTGAAAACCCTCAAATGAGAGTTTTTAAAATAGCTGATTACCATCAACTATTTTCAAATCCCTCATTTTTGTTTCATTTTTTCAAAACCTTACCCCTAATCGGTTGCTTTCTTCATCTTCCTCTCTACGACCAGCAACCTTCTTTCTTCCTTTTTTCTCCAGGCGTCGTCGTCGTCGACTTCTCCATTTCTCCTTTTTTTCTCCTGCTAGCAGCTGCTAAGATCTTCGACGACGGCGAGTGCAGGAGGGTGGCGACCTCACTCCATCTCTGTTCATATCGGCGTTCTTCTCCAATCTGCATCATCAAATCAATTGTTGATGGTGATCTCAAACTCATCCAATTTAGCGAACCCTTTCTTCTTCCCATCTCATCCCCATCCTCTTCACCCTCTTTCTCCGGCAACCTCAAACTCCGAGCAGCTTCTTCCGGCAGCCAAGCGAAGTTCTGTCTATTGACACTCAGTCTCGCCTCGTTCCCCCGGCCCTCGCAGGCCTTATCTGCTTCGCCATCAGCCCGCCTTCCTCTCAAGCCTGCTAAAATCATTAGATCCATTCGCCGCCAATCAGATCGATTCAAACCTACATTTTGTCACGATATGATGCAAATCACATAGTGATTGTCACCGTGACAATCACTATGGACGATGCTTTTAAGTAAAACTACAACCCGACAAAAAAATGCAACTATGTTACTTACACCACAAAAATATAATGTAACTAAATAAAATTAAAAACAAATAAATTGAGGTGAAAAGTATCAAAATGCATGGATGTTATTTTGATTTTAAAGAAATACAATTTGATGCAAAATATGTCTAGTTTTTTCCACAAACATTTGTCGAAAGAAGTTAAAAAGGTTATAAGCTAACACATCTATAGTATGTTATTCTTCTAAAATTGTACCAAAAATATTAAGTGAAGCATAGCCTATATTAAATCACGTCTAAATTTTAAGTCGAATAATGTATTAGGTTAGGAAGATGAGAGACCACGATAAAAAATTATGACAAATATCTCAAGTTTCTCTTAAACATGTTTATATACGTCACAAATATGTTTTGGACGAACAGTTATGAAAACAGTTGAAACACGGGTTGGGTAGAGTTCTACGGGTTGTGTAACCCAAAATTCGCACCCAACTCCAAAGAGGCTGGTTGTACAAAATAAGACGCTCACTCAACCTTAAACTTAATATTAGCGATACATACGGGTGTGTTGGGTTGGGCGGGTCAGTTTGCGAGTGTTTTTGTTCACCGATAGGGGTAACAGATTAAGAGGTTAGCTAGTAGCTATTGCCTTTAATTATGATTGATTGTGTTTTTCAATCGCTTTAGAAGTTAGCAGATTTGGATGGTTTCAATCTCTTTGTGTTTTCTTTGTTCACCTTACTCGTTTGCTTTATGGATTTGATAAATGAAGGTTTCAATCAAAACTTGGTTTTTATAAAACCAAGGATTTATTATGGAAATGGTCAAGTTGGTTTTCAGATAAAACCATTGTATGCTTGACGGATTTCAAGATGGATGTTATATTATGAATTTATCTATCTACCCTTACTATCCCTTATTTTTTTTAGAAACAAAACAAAATAAGGATAAAACAGTAAATAACCATCATGGACTTGATACCCCACACAAATTCCACCCTTTGAGATGGAATTTTCCAAGTCTGTGGTTTTGGCCCTACTAAATTTGCTTCATGGATTAGAAAAATGAAGGATGTTATTATTTTCATATAAACAAAAAAATTTAGAAATTCATTCGTAGCTCTCCAAGATTTCAAGACCTCAAAGGAATCATATATGCAAACAAACATGAAATCAATAAAAATTTTGAAATATTGAATATAAACTAATCTTCCTTATTACATGATCAACCTGCTTAATAGGGTTCTCGTCTTCCTTTTCCTAGCAAAATAATGTTTGTTAAGTCCAAGCACATTCCACCATCTTCTTCGTGTGTTTTTCCTTCATGTTTTTCCACTCCTTTCCTCGTCCCTCGTTATCACTAGTCTAGGGTTAGCAAAAATAAAGAGGACAAATTTGTCATTAATAAAATGATGGATAAAAGAGTAAAGTCTCATCATGGACTTTCCATCCTCACTAGGGATGACAATGGGGTGGGTTTGAGGCGGGTTTGCATAAACAATCTCCACCCCGTCTATAAATATCAAAACTCATATTCGCCTCATACCCATGCGGGGAAGGTTTTGCAAACCCATCCCCATGCCATATCCGTGGATTTTGGGTACCCGTGGATACTCGTCCTGTACATTCAACATCATTATACCTAAGACTTCACATTTAAATTTTCAATTATAACACTAATGAACCTAATATATCATGAAGTCAACAAAGAAACCCGTGGATAGAGTATGATATTTTTCAAATCATTATTCTCTAACTCTCATACATGTACTAAGTAATAATTAATTAATATAATTATCTTGCTAACAAGAGAAAAAAGTGAAAGGATGAAATGAGTATTGAAGAAAAGGAATAATGTTTTGATATGGATAACCACTTAATTGCATTTACATTCTTTATTTTCTTGAGTTACCTTCATTGTCATTGATAGGTTACAATTTGATCTATGTATTTATTATATGTGAAGAAATATTCTTGATGAGTCGGATATGGGTATTGGTATGGGGCAGTGGAGGCTAAAACCATACCCGCCTCATACATGTCAACCTTTTTGAGGGTTTTACCCATACTCAATCAATGCAGGGATTCCCCGCGTTGACAGGTCGGATACCCGTGACCAAGGGTTTGATTGTCATTCCTAATTCTAACCAAAATCCCAATCCTTAGGATGGAATTTGCAAGTCCACGAGGTCCACGAATTTGGACCATCAAAATGTGTGGGCCTCACAGATTTATCTCTCATAAAACTTTGAAGCAAACAATGAATTTTGTTCCAAGTCCATGAGGGTTGAATTTTGTGCACAAAATCCATGATGAAAACCATGATAGTGTATCCATGATAGTTGATTTTAATGTACCAAATCCATGATGAAATCTACTAAGCAAAGACTTTTAGTTAATTGTAAATAAAATCTGTAATGGTTAGGGTCGGAGCTGATGACCAAGACTCAATTCGAATTAATTTCTAGCAATATCTGCCATGGCCCATACTATATAGCAAAACCATGTAAAAAAACACATGCACTCTTTAACAAACTTTTCCTTAGCAACAAGCCAACCTCCGATCATGATCATGATCATACGAAGATAATAAACAATTTGAAGAATGAAGTAGACCAAAACATGTATTCATTGCAACACCGATGAAGCAAAACGAGTTCAGAAATAAAAATCCTTTGTAAAAGATGCTATCGCTATGGCTAAGAGTAAGCAAGAAGGTTATGCGCTTGCAACAAATTCTCACGACCAAAAAGAAAAGAAAAATATCATCTAAACATTCCTTCAATCTGGATTACAATACGTGCTTAGCAATTCGTTGCTCTTTGATATTACCAACTTCGTCACCATGGAACCACGATTTGTAGTGACAAGATATATCTCGCTCTAAATGTTTAACCATAGATACCTGGGATCAGAGCAAAAATGATAAGAAAACAGGCAATCTCTTTCGATAGTCTTCAGCACACGAACAAACATCTTTCAATCTCATATTAACATAAACAGAATGTTCCAGTGCCAAAACACTGGATGAAGATTAGAAGCATTTTCGAGCCTGTATAATAGAGTGAGCCAACACCGAAGGCTATTCTTGCCTCTTGGGTGGAATCCATGATCGATTCAATAAGATGATCATCTATATTGATTCTCAGTGTTGAAGTCATGACAAAAAATCATATACATATTCAATTGCAAATAGAATCCTACCTAATTCAGTGGTGAAATCCCAAGTTCAAGCAGGTGGCGAAGCCATTACTTCGGGAACTTGATGTCCGGAGAAGGTGAACGGTAGGATGAAAACTGAGAAGGGATCCTGCATCGGCAACATGGGAGAAGAATTGAGGGCAATAGATCACATGTGAAGGGAAAGAGCTACTTGAGAAGAAGAAATGCAGGTTGGTGAATAAACTAAAAAGTAGGAGTAAAGCTTCAGAAAGACACAACAGCACATTCCAAACTCAGGAATGAGAACCAACTACTCACTTTACACACCTCAAAACGTACTCCGCTGTTTGATGGAACCTAAGGCTACAAAATATTCCATCAGATTCTGAATGAAGACAAGGTTGGCACTAACAATTATTGCTCTCAGAACTCTAGAGACAAGCAACTAGGACTTCTAGACTGTAAAACCTGCTCCAATGAAGACACGGTAACCTGCTCTGCCCCCTATGGATGGGTGATATGCCAGACCCTTCTGTTGTAACAACCCAAATATAATTGAAGCTTCCTATCGTGTTGTACAGCCATCTAATTGGAAAAGGTTGAGCAGACAAATCAACATGCTTCTATTACATCAGTTCTCAAGATCCTCGTAATGAAGTCAACTGGTTTCCTAACACGATAATTGGGTACTTTTGATAGACTAAATTGCACTTCCACAGCCAACAGATATCTCCAAGAGACCCAGTAACCAATACTAGCGTCTACATATTAGATTTGATGACCATGGCTTCTCGTCCTGAATCACCTACTTCCCTCTAACGAAGTGGCCAAAGTGGAGTATGCAAGACACCTAATAATTTAGAAGGCACCAAAGGAGAGTCACAGTTCAAAATTACAGGACCTAACAAACTAGGCTCAACATGTAGAGATTGTGGGTACCAAGCTACTTACCATTCAATTGTCAATAACTCAACATAAACAAGCATTCCACAGTCACACAGAAATTGGAAAGCATTGATGCAATCAACATTCAAATTGTCCAATATCGAGAACAGAAGTTACCTGCTGCAGAAGTCAGTAATGTACCGCACAATGAACCAGATCAACACGAGCATCAGCGTATCTGCCAAGTTCAGGAACCCAAACAAGAAAATGCTGCAAAAACACACACAAACAGGAGATTTTGCCAAACAACCCTTCAACCCCATCAGTAAATTTGATTCAGAACTAGTCCCAAGTTTGAAATCCACATATCTCTTGGTCATATACAGTAGACTACAAACAGCTCCTGGGAAAAATCTAGAACACAAAATCTCTGCGAATGCAAAAGAGGCAAAAGAAGGAAAAGCAGATCCCTACTTATCATAAGGATACTGAAAAGGCAACGTTCCCACCAATCCAACATGAATAGCCCGAAGGTGACATTGTAGAGATAGATCTTCCGTTGAATCCAGTTCATAGCTCCCCCAGAACTACAGAGGCATCGAAAATTCAAAACAGGACTGCGTCAAACCACCGGGAACAGAACCAGCGAAGCCAGCCGGTAGAGCAGATCACAGTGCGAAATAAGACAGACGAAACAAGATCGAGAGCAGGATTTCTTTTACCTCGTGGAGTTGCAGAGAGCTTTACGAGCTGTGAGAGATGGAGACGGAGAGGCGATGAGCGAGATGTTCTCCGAAATCTCTGATTTTGCTGCGAACTTGAACAAGACGTGTCAACGGTGGACGTTATTTAATTAGCTGGAAATTCCGCGGGGGATGATGGGTCGGGTTGGGGTGAGTTACGGGTTAAAGGCTAGCGGTTGGATTTTTTTACATGGGTTGATCGGGCGGGTTAGGAGTAATTTAATCGTTCTTGGCGGCGGTGAACTTTTCTGGTCATCGGTCATCGGTTATTATTCATGGAGTTCCACATTTTCATTCAACTACTTAAATTTGGTCATCGGTTATCTTGATCCAGATGTATATATTTGTCTAAAATTTGGTAGTATGTTCAAACATTTTTAAAATACCTATCATATCAATGCTTTATTAACATCTTGATATACAATTCTCCAAAAATAAAAGTATCCCTCTCTAACTCTCTCGAGTTTGACTAATCAGTACTCAGTACCTTAAAAGTAATCCGGCCAATTAACCGGATAAAAGGCTAGTTTTATTTTCATTATAGAGTATTGAATTAATAAAAGAAAAAGAGAGGGCATCCATGGAGACTTGCAAGAGCAGATGATTCAGGTTTATGCACTGCAAGTCTGCAACTTCACGGTTGGAACTTATAATTCAGTTTATGCACTTCAACTTCACAATTTAAGTCAGTTCTTTTCACACTTGAAGAGTGGCTGAAATTGACGACGAGGAGGAGGAGGAAGAGACACTTTTTTTTATCTCTCTTTATGTATCGCTCTTCACCAGGAGTACATACAGGTTATCTTCAAACTGTTGTTACTACTTGAAGGTTTTGACTTGAGTGCTAAACGTTCATATCTAATCTACAGTTTGGAAAAGGCAGACATTGGGATATTTAGAAGCTCAAAGCTTAAATTTCAACTTTATCTTTCTGCAGAAGGTGAGTTGAGTTATGAGTTGGCTGAGTTGCACTTCTTTCTTACTCCATCTACTGAAATTGGATAAAAAAAAATTCTCGGAAGCCATGGTTGAACTGCTTTCCAGTCCTGCATTCTTTTTTATCTCTTGGGATTTTTCAGGAAGCCATTGTCGAACTGCAACTATTGGGTGACGAATCTCACAGGGCAAACTAGATACATACGTGATTTATGCCAGATCATATTTCATCTAGAACTCGATTTTCAGAATTCTGCTTCTCATCTTCTTCCCTAGTTTCAGAGTTTTGCTCAATGTTTTCAAGTACATTGCTTGGAGAGGGAGGGTTAGGTACTGGATCCCAGTAAATAGCTCTTGTTGTCTGTTTTCAAAGGAATTGGACCCTCTTTGACCAGTCATTTGTTCGGTCTATGATGTTCGTTTGTCTGTGAAGCTTTTGCTCACTATTTTGGGCGCTATTCCTATTTGCTTTGTTTCATTGACTGTTTTTCATTTGTTTGACCTGGCAAAAGTTTGCTTTCGTTTGTTTCCAGTGCTTATGGACGACCAGATGGAAGCAGAGGTCATGGAAGAGCTAACCAAGGCGGTAACTTTCAAACTCTAGCTATATTTCCTACAATGATTGTTGTTCTAAATTGTAATGACTACCAAAGCTTACATATCAAAATGGTAGAAAAAAGTGTCTCAAATACCAAGGACTACGTAGAGGCCGAGTCCAGGCTAAATATCACCCTCAAAGAAAATGTAAGCAGAAGAAAACTCCTCTCTATTCGATTTTCGATTTCGTATAGAGAAGAAAGCACATTTGAATCTGCAGATTGATTGTCCTTTGGGTGATACTGTTGTACCTTCTTGGTGCGGTGGCATTTTCTTCTTTTGCTTTTACCTTTTTCTATAATAGTTGCTCATTAATTTTGTCATTGAATGGTTAAGACCCGATTCTGGATTAGATCAATATGTTGGGAGTTCAATTATCTTTTGGATTAGCCATTACTAAATATTTCCCTGGAAAACTGTTGTGGTTGAGGGAATATTGACATTTCTCGCTAGCTGCAGTTGCGAGGTTTTGGTATTAGAGATAAAAGCTTCAATGAGCAGGTAGTGGTCATTCAACAGTCATGGATAATAATGTAGTGTGCATAAACTATTTGTCTTTCCTCAGACATGGATAATGTTCGATAATCAGAGTTCCTTGGCAATGCATTTGTTTTTACTTTCACTTTCGGAATGTGTAAGCTCATTGGAAAATATGTACGTTAAGAACCATGAAAACAGGCTAATAATACCACCCTGATTGTAGTAATATGAACTACCTACCAGAAGATCATGTTGATTGGTTGGCTCATCTTCTATGCTCTTCATTATATGTGTGAGGTAACCCTTTGACCAAACAAAGCATTCTTATGACATGTGAGCAATGAAAGCACAAAAAAGTTGCATCTTTTCAAAGAGAATGAGGACAATATCTCTAGAGTTTTATTAGAATGCCAAACATCTTTTCACAATCTTTGGCTATTAGTGGTAGTTGGTTGAAATTTAGTATTTCATTAGGTAGCCAAATTCGAGTAATGAGTGTATTTATTACGTGTCTTTTACACTGATGTTAGGAACGGGTAGAGACTTATTTATAACATAAATAACGATGTGATTTAAACCTTTTCATTTCTATTAAAATTATTTACACATGCTCTAACATTAAGTAATTCTTAAGACACACAATTTGAGGAACATGGGTCGTGCTCCTTCGTTAGAGCACAAAAATACGAACTTGAATGAATTCGAAACCATTCACGAATTAATAGATGCCACTAAAAGACAACTAGCGATTGTTTCACCTGAGAGACGCATACATATGGTGGGTGAGAGTCAGGACGGAGAATAATTGAAGATAATACAAGCTCTATTTAAGGCTTAGATTAGCATACGAATTATCTGCCAATCACCAGCGATGGACTATGACGCTACAAAATTCAGACTCTTTACATGTACTATGAACTCAGCCAATATAGCCCAAGACTAGATTGGAATAGATTGATTCGATGAGATTATTGAGGTGTTCACTGATTTAGAGATTGTTTAGACTTGTAGAATAGTTTTTTATATTATAATATTAAATTATTTAGATGATACCCATTTGGTGTAACAGAACGAAGACTTGACGGTCGATAGTTAGAAAAAAAAAATGGGAAGATAAATAGAAACAAAAAGTCCGTGGGTTGGTGGAGTAATAGAATGTCATTTGGAAAAATTTGGAGGTTGAAGAGGGGGGAATACATGTACTTTTATTTTTTTATTTTAAAA